CTTGTTTATTCTATACGTATCCTTAATTTTTTCTCTGACTTTCTCTACTTGGTCTGACCAGATGCTTGTTATTTCCCGAATTTTCAAAAATATCAGACCAATTAATCAGACCAATTAATACTTTTTTTTCTCATGGAGACGTACTTCAGGATATCTCTGTCCTTCTGCTCTCATCTGAACTGGTTTCTGCTTCCTTGAGTCATCCTTTCACCCATATTCTGTGACTGTCCTTGAGTTCTGTCATTGTTTTATTGAGTTCTCGGATTTTATTGGAGCATGGGAAGTAAAGATCTTGCATGTATGAAAATTTATTCCTCTCTCCTTCACAGTTGATCTTTTGTTTGGTTGGGCATATAGTGCTACACTGAAAAATCATTTTAAGAGTATATGTAAAAGTGTATGTAAAAAGAAGGGATGACTCTTTTATCTAGTAAAATTTAATGGTATTATTTAGAAGACATTGTTATCATAGAGTTAATAATATTCCTACTCTTAGTCTTTTAGCAATCATTCAAATGTTATCATTTGCCAGTGCTTTGGTTAAGTTCTTTTTTGGGAGATAAATCTCTGTGATTCTCTTTCATTTTTGTACATCTTGAGGACAGAGGTATTTATCTAGACAGTCCTTTCGAGAATGTGGGTATGGCCAACAGCCTCAGAAGACAGGGATAGTGTCTCCCTCTATAGCAGTAGGCAAAGATGCTTATTGTCTGTTTAAAAGGTTAGGGTTCCCTAAGATCAAGGTTCTTCTGTGTGCACCAGTGTCCCCAGGCCCTCTTCACATCACCTTGTGAGAATTTTCATTTGAGACATCACTACATAAAAGGATGTTACTCTGGCTAACTCTATGGCTGTTGATTGTGAAAAATTGTCTCCCACCCAGGAGTCTTGTGTCTTCTGCCAACATCCATAAAGCTAAGTCAGGCTCACTTTTGAACTTTCCAGTAAGGTAAAATTATAGACCCCTCACAGTTCTAGATACCTACTTTCTCTCTGAAAATTTTCTTGACCACTAATCCATAATGTTTTCCTCCCATTGCCATTTATTTGATATATGTAGCATTTATTTATTACCTTTTTCTTGGTTTGTTTTCTCATCCCAAAGACATTTTACAATAAAAGTACGTTGTATAGAGTAAAACACAGCAAATACTAGTTTTATGTAAGTTTCTAAATTATAATATGTAGATAATTATAAATATCTATAATTTAGAATGTTTATTCTATGTTTTAGAATATTTATTGAACTTTTTATTGAGCAGCTAATATATTATAAATTGTTTTGTAAGGTACCAAGCATGAATGGATGAACATATACTCTTAAAATGTCTTATATTTGTGTGTAGTTATCCTAAAATATTTATCAAGGTATGTTTTATAAATCATGTTATTACTTAATTCTGTTTTCAATAACATTATAAATTGCCATTTATTGGGCAATTACTATGTGTCAGGCACCATGTTATATTTGTGACATGGATTATCTTTTTTTTTTTTTTTTTTTGAGTTGCAGTCTCGCTCTGTCGCCCAGACTGGAGTGCAGTGGCCGCTCCCGGCCACCGCAGCCTCGGCCTGCTGGGCTTCGGCGATCCTTCTGCCTCAGCCTTCCAAGTAGCCGGAATTTCAGGCATGCGCTACCACACCCGGCTGATTTTTTGATTTATTGTAGAGATGAGGTCTTGCTGCCCAGGTGGGTAACCCGCGGGCTCAGACAATCCACTCACCTCAGCCTCCCAAAGGCGCGGGATTACAGGCTGAGCCGCTGAGCCACTGAGCCCGGCAGACATGGATTATCTTATTTCTCTCAGTTGTCCTGTGAGGTCTATGTTTTTATAGTCCCCATTTTATAGAACAATAGTTTGACACATAGAAGGGGTGTATAACTTGCCCAAGGTTATAAAATTGGCAAATTTTAGTGTTGATGTTCATATTCAAGTCTATTTAACTCTTGAACCCAAGCTCTTAACCTACTACACTCTGTTATAAAATGGAGAGGAGAGAAAGGGTTAAAAAAAACCCAACTATATTGTCTCATCTGGAAACTCTTTAACACTGTTTAGCTTAAATTGATTTTATACTTCTTAAATATTGATTTGACATATTGATTTGACAGTTTCATTTACTATAGTTATAATGGAATTCATTATATAACTCTTACTGATAGTAACTACATTCAGTCACATCTTAAAGAAAAGTACCAGACAATAACGTACAACCATATACGAGCTGATATTTGCACATCCAGAAACCGGGAAATTCTAAGTTCTGGTTCCACAGCAACCGCTGCTTAGCCTCAGGGCAGTGAATGTTGCTATCCAAACTGAACCCCATATGCAGCTACGTGAAATAATATTCTACGTGTTCTTGGGCCCTGATAGTGGCCCCTGTGGGAACAGGGTATAAATGATCAGTGACTTTTATCATTGTAGTTTGGGGCATTTCATTTATGTGGCTATTTCATAGTGCAACATAGGTGTTTCAACTGGTGACACATCTTGGTGGCATTTCAGTGGTGCTTAAATTATTAATGAATCCTGAAACAAAATGTCTGTAACTTATAAGATTATTTTTATGTCTTATATCTGGTTTATAAACAATGATGTTTGCTCTCCTCCCTACCCCCACTCCCAATGGAAAAGCATCATTTTGGGAGTTAGTGTTTACATTCAAAGTGCAGTTCTTAGGCAGGTTCAAGATGCTGGTTAACCTTTGAAATGTATTATGTGCTGGTGCTTAAAAGAGATAGATGGCTAAGAAGTACATATTAGAGACTCTCAAGACACAGGATCATCAATCTTCAAGTAGCCTGGCTTCATGCAGAGCACAGCCAACCAGAACACACTGAGCATTCAGCTGCTGCTTTCGGTAGATATTCAGAGGAAATGTCAGTTGGGCATTACCAACTGCTCTGTCTTCCCTTAATATCTCTTCACTAATTTAATATATTGTTTGACATTGTGTCTTGAACCTGTAACTCTTACTTATCATATTGTTAATTGATATCTTTGTTGATGGCATATAAATTTCTCAAGTACATGATTAAAAATGTAAATTTTTTTCTCCAGTGATGAATTCTGTATTCTAATATATGTGGTTTAATAAGTTCAAAATAAAATCACTATTGTCAAATTTATATTAGTATAAATATAAACAACAGATAAATCTAGCTGGGCACAGTGTCTCATGCCTATAATCCCAGCAGTTTGGGAGGCCAAGGTGTGGGAGGATTGCTTGAGGCCAGGATTTTGAGACTCCTGGTCAACATAGCGAGACACCATCTCTATAAAAAATTAAAAAATTAGCCAGGCATAACAATGCACATCTGTAGTTCTAGTTACTCAGGAGACTGAGGTTGGAAGATTGCTTGAGCCCAGGAGTTCAAGGCTGCGGTGAGACATGATCTTACTACTGCACTACAGCCTGGCTGATAGAGCAAGATGCTGTTTCAAAAACAAAAAAGGAAAGAAGCCGGGCTCGGTGGCTCAGCCTGTAATCCCACGCCTTTGGGAGGCTGAGGTGAGTGGATTGCTTGAGCCTGCGGGTTCGAGACCCGCCTGGGCAACTTGGCGAGACCTCATCTCTACAATAAATAAAAAATTAGCCAGGCGTGGTAGTGCGCGCCTGTAGTTCTGGCTACTTGGAAGGCTGAGGTGGAAGAATTGCCGGAGCCCAGCAGGTCGAGTCTGTGGTGACCGGGAGCGGCCACTGCACTCTAGTCTGGGTGACAGAGTGAGACTCCAACTCAAAAAAAAAAAGGAAAGAAAAGATAAGCCTAACAAATTATATGTACAGTTTATAACTTATACACATAAACTTTCAATAAATAGATTAATTTTACTTATTTCATTTGGAAGCTTACTGCCCCCAAGATTCTTAAGGATAATTTTGCTTTAACTAGGAAAATATTTACAGAGGATATACTAGGTGCCAGATAATGTGGATCCAAGGTGAAGTATACATGGGCCTCTTAGCCATTGTGTTTGGAGTGCCTGAATCTTTCCTAACTATTCTAATTTGTTGATGACCATTGATATTAGTCCAGGCATATTTATCACTATTTAAATGGTCTTGAAAAGGCAACATACCTATTTGTGACCTCCTTAATGAAAAGACAATAGTCAAAATGACGAAGGTATTTTCTTGGGTAGCATTGAATTTATTTTTGTGGTTTACCACATTTATTCCACATGCATTTTGTAGTACCAGCAAACTTACCCAGTTTCTTCAACATATTGGAACATAATTTTTACAAAATTCTGACTACCATTGTCAAAGGAAGAATACAAAGGTAGTGGTTGATTACATTGCTGTTTTTGCTTTTCCTTATTCCTAGTCTCTCATACACGAACATAACAGAAGTGGTCCATTCAGACTAAGACCTTAATGCCTTTGCAGATACCTCTAAATAATCAGTCAATTGGTGTAGGGCAACTTTGTGTGAAATTTCACAGGATGAAAGGTTTTAAGTCTGGCATTGTACCCAGGATGTGCTCTTTTGACAAACTTATGAACTGAACACTGACAACTATGACCATAAACCCTAGGGTGTGGTTTATAGTAGTCTCAACTGTTTGGACCAGTAAAAATTTTTAACATGCATTTCCAATGTCCCATACTGTTTATTAATATATTCTGAAAGTATACTAATATATAATTACTTCCTAAAGTATATACCAAAAGAAATGAAATAAAAAATGATGAGATTGGCATAAATGAAGAAAATTGATGTAAACAAAAGTTCTGTTGTTTTCCTTCCTTATCCCAGTAGTCTCTTGTTTAGCTTCTGGGACATGGCAACTTGGGAGACTCTTGCTTTAAAATTCAACTGTTCAGAACACACTTCTCTTGGGTGTGATCTTAAAGATCATCCTCCATAGAGGAAAGACCTAGTCAACATGATCATAGAGCACAGTAGACTCCAGTTTTATCCAGTTTCCTTTCAAATGATAAAAATAAACCTAACCCAGTGTGTACTTTTCTTTGTGTTGTGCTGCTTCTAGGATGAGGATGGAACAGAAGAAGATAACAGCCGTGTGGAACCTGTTGGACATGCCGACACTAGTTTGGAGAATATACCCAACTTTTCTCTGGAGTAAGTTGCTGATGGTTTTGACTAAATTTGCAATATACATGTAACATCATTAATTGCAGCAAGTATTCCAAAAACATATGGCATGTGGAATGCTTGTGCCTAGTTAAAAACATGCCTTGCATTGATTTGTTTTTCCAAAGAGCATCTTTCATCAGTTGAGTTAATTATGTAATGCAAGCAGTATATAGCATGGAAGTTCATATTCACCTGTCCTGAGTTTCATGCCATGGCAAATACTATTACATTATATTGTAAAATAGTATTTGATTGAAGATGTTTGTCATGTTAACAACACCATAAACAGTGTGACTGTTTTGAGATTGTTTTGTTTGTCAGTATTTTGGTCATTTGTTTGTTTTTCAGATTTGCTAAATTAAAAAAAATTGTGGCTATCCTTTACTTGACAAACTAGTTGGATCATGCAAGGTTATGAACCTTGAAAATGATTTTAAGTATAAATGGACGAGAAAATTTTCCTATACTGTCACAACATTCCACCTTCAATGTCAACATATGAACATGGAAGGCATGCTCAGGACTTCCTTCCTTGATTGCATAGAGTAGGAGGGCACTTATGCTAGATGTTTTTCTTTGACTTTGGGTAAAAGTCGAGGGTATAGACATTAACGTTTATATACTTAATTCTGTCTTTTGGTCTTCCAAGGAGAGGGGCTCTAAGAACTTTCTCACTGGGACTCAGCAAGCTCTAGGCTTAGATTGTGTTTGGATACACAGCACCCAGAACTCTGAGTATGTACTTTTAAGAAGTACTTGCCATGCCATAGTTCTTTTTAGAATGAATGTGTAATAAAATACATTTATTAAAGTTATACTATTCTTAGTTCACAAGCCAATGTCTGAATAGGTGTTTGGAGGCATTAACAATATCTTAATTAGAATTTTATGAAATTCTATGAAAAAATCCATTTAAATAGTGTAGTTTAGTAAACATTTTGGCAGTATGACAAAATTTTTATTTTGTTCTGATTAGTATATGTGATGAAATCTATGAACATATTTTTGATTTGTTATCCCTATCTTTAATGTTTAGTCTTTGTATTATATATGCAGACTATTCATAGTATGTAGAATAAACTCTGGTTTTTATATAAGAAATGCAATTGAAAACTTGGCATCCTCCATCGTGTAAAAACAATATTGAGCTCTTTGTCAAATTCACTGTTAATCATTATGGTTTTCCAGATTGCTTAAACTAGGTATTTTGGGATTGAAGTACTACTTCCAAATATTGATTATTAGATAAACATTGCTTAGACCTCTTATGCAGCATGTATATATGAAAAAAATACAAAGAAAGTAAAATCTCACTTAAATGGTTTAGAAAATTTACATTCTCCAAATTATGTCAATTTTCATCGGTCAGGATTATTATATTAATAGTAAAGATTCATGAAGTATCTTGAAAAATACACAGTTTATGAAAGGTTGTACTCTATACACAAAGTACTTTATGTAATTATAAGCACTTAGTGTTATGTCCTATAATATAAATAGCTTAATAACTGTAGTCCCAGCTACTCAGGGGTCTGAGGCAGGAAGGTCCCTTGAACTGAGGAGTTCAAAACCAGCCAGTACAATATAGAGAGATCTCGACTCAAAACAACAACAACAAAATTACAAACACTTTTCTGAAAATTATCTGAATTATAGTAGACACCTATTGGCTCTAAGAAAGGAGTCTTAAAGGCTGGGTGTAGTAGCTCATGCCTGTAATTTCTTCATTGTGAGAAATCAAGATAGGAGGATCTTTTCAGGCCAGGAGTTTGGGATCCCCTAGGCAACAAAATGAGAACATATCTCTACAAAAAAGTTAAAAAATTAGCTGGGCATGGTGGCACATGCCTGTAGTCCTAGCTACTAGAGGCTATGAGGTGAGAGGATCACTTGAGCCTGGAAGTTCAAGGTTGCAATGAGCTATGATCATGCCACTGCACTCTAGCCTGGGTGACAGAGTGAGGTGTTATCTCTTTAAAAAAAAAAAAAAAAAAAAGGAATTTTATAACCAGCACTTGCTGTGCTCGTATGGCAGTTTAGGAAATGGTGACTTTGAATTGTCCTGGAGTAGTGGGCAGTGAGGACAACTTTGATCTCCTCTGGACTATCACCTATGGGGTGAAAATTTTGATCTTATTGAATTATTGGAAAGATTAATGATGTAACATATATGACAGCATTTTATAAATTGGAACGTGCTCTGTAGTTGCAACCCCTTGATCCAGTTAATTTCAGAGTCCTTGAAGTAGATTTTGGAATGGAAAGTTTTCAGGGGAAGTCTAGAGATTTGACTTGCAAAACGTGAACTAGTATTATACAAAAGAGTAGTGTCCAAGAGAAATGGTTCTGTGTCAATTTTAATGTCGCTATCTCTGATGATTGCTCTCCCTTCATGCCATCAGACTAGTGTTCAGGTATGTAGTGTTTAATGTTGCCTTCATCACCATGCTTATATTCCAGAATATGTATGTATATGCGTGTGTGCTTGGTGGGATTTTTGTTCTGTTCTCTTTTGTTGTTTATTGTGTGTCTGTGTTGTTGCGGTTATTTTTTGTTGTTTTCTTTTGTTTTGGTTTTGGTTTGCTTACAGTACATGTTCATGCTCCCTCATTCATCATTGTCTCACAGTGATATGTTAAAGCTCGTAGAAGTCTCCAACGATGGAGGGCCTCTGGGAATCCATGTAGTGCCTTTCAGTGCTCGAGGCGGCAGGTAACGTATCTTGGAGGTTTTTAATTGAATCATAATGTGGAGTGTTTTATCTTCATTTATGCTCAGATAGAGAGTGGTGTTGACTTGCATATGCTTAATAGAAAACACTTTCCTGTGCAGCAACTGCTGCTTCATTCACACGTATATGTCATAATCACAGAAAGCGCTTAGCCTGGTGAAGAGAGATTTTGCAGGAACATGAAGAAACCGTGCATTTTAATTGTCCTAATAAATTTATTGTTCATTATACCTGAGCAAACATTTTACTTTGCTGTAAATTGATGATAGATTTTCAAGTCAGAAATCCAGCTAGATTTGCAAAGTTAAGAAGAGCTTAAGGCAATTTTATGGAAAAATTCATTCAATAAATATTACTTGGATAACCCAAGTAATGATTCATTTTGAATTTGTCTGTGTGTGTATTTAGTTCTTCAGACTTAACAATTTTAATGGTTTTTAAAACTTTGAATGTAAACTTTTGGAAAATTAGGCAAGCTGTAGGTCTTCTTCCACGTGGCTGTGACTTAAAAAAGAAAATCTCAACATTCAGAATATCAACATTTGTAATGTTTGTTAATCCCAACTTCATTGCTTTATAGACTGTACACCCTTAAAAACTTTTAATGCTTTATGAGTTTCCTTGTTTCTTCATCTTTTTTTCTGCGAAAGAACTATTGTTATATTTTGCTGCATTCATACAAATAGTATGGATTGATTTTGCCCCTAGTGCTTGGCGGGCACCTGACATTGACAAGTGAAGTACATTCTTCCTTTTCTCCCCAGGAGCTTGAACCTATGCAGGTTCAACTTGTTCAAGTTTAATGCCATTGTCTCTTATTTGCCCTCTAATGATTACCTGGGAAAAGTATATTTATGAACTGTTTAGTTTCTTAATTTTGAAGCCTTTATTTCTCTTCTTGTTATCACCTTAATTTTTTTTATTTTTTATTTGAATTTTCTGTATGTGGGGAGAAGGGTAAGGAAAACCTTAGCTCAGTGATGGAGACCTTAGAATAGTTTAAAGTATGTCAAGGAATCAGTGGCATCTAGTATGTTTTAAAAGATACATGTGTGTGATTAAACTATGTATTTTAAAATGAGTATTCCAGCAATTTTACTACCTTCCTCTTTTATATTAGTCACCACAGCTAGTCTAGATTTCATCTCTTTATAAAGCACATGGTCTATGCAACATCCTGACATGGAAACCTTGATTTACTCAGAACTCTGCTAGAGTATGAGTCTTAGGGCTATGTAAAAAGGTGTGAAATTCACCTTGAATTTTTGGATGGTGTTATATTCAGAGAATTGTAGCTAGTTTCCCTTTTTCTCTTTCTTCTTCTTTTTTTTAAATGTTTAAACTCTTGGGAAACATTAAAAGAACTTCAAAGAGCTTTCAGTTAAACAATATTAGTTGTTTTCAAAGGGGGCCTTGTCATTATCTCTTCCTTTAAAGATAGGATTTTAAATTGTCTCAAAAGTTAATTTTTTTAAAATTTCTTTCCATGAGGAGGGAAAAAAAGATAAGAAGATAAAATACATGGATTATAACTTTCCAGTGTTCATATGCCTTAAACTGCCTTTGAAACATAACTCATCACAAATGAGATTTAATTTTATATGTATCAGCTTTGAACTGGTATTTCAATTGCAAACGTGTTTTTTTTTCTGTCATTTGTTACATATTTCCTACCTCAGTGTGAAAGGATATTTGGGTAAAATAAATAGACGAGGAACCTAAAGCAAAAGGAAAATAAGATAGAGAAATAAAATTGCTAGCTGATTGAGTCAGTGAAAGGCATTTCACAAAATCCACCACAGTTGCTGGTTATCATGGTGTTTAGTTTTCATGCACTGAAAACATTCAGGTAAATAAGTATCCCTTTGCAGAGCTAGAAGTTGTTTTATCGCACAATCATTTTAAACCCCTATTAATTTATCACTAAATGAGAATCTATATAAGGGGCAAAGAGATTTCAGATTCTTTATAAAACCTTTTTAGGCATTCCCAGTTTTCATGTGGAAACAGAACACAACTAGTTCTTTTTTTCCCCAGCACTTGTGTTGTATCTTGAAGCTTCGTCGTAGACTTTGATAGTCATGGCTCTTCAGAGTTGGGTTAATGCTGGGAGAAAAAAAGCAGGTGGGCTGCTTGGATTCATAGATACCACCCTTCAGGAGTGCAGAGACACCCACCCTTCTTGCTCTCTGAAATGCACCAAAGTGAATTCTTCTCTTTCAGTTAGAAACCTTTCCAAGCATTGACCGTGTGATAATTCCTGTATTAGGTGCTAGGAAACAAAGAGGAACAGGACATATCTTCTCCAGGGCTTTGCAGTCTGGATGGAGTGACAGCCAAGAAATCGCACAATTATAATTATGTGATAAATGCTGATATTGTGGTATAATCAGTGTTCCATACGCTGGTAGAGGAAGAATGATCTGTATTAGGTTAACCGAAGTGGGCTTGTTGCGGAAGATGATTTTAAATGTGATGACAGCTTATAAAGGTAGCTGCATCAACTCCATGGTGGCTTGTGCAAGGGCAAATTAAGCAATGCAGTATAGGAGAAAGGAAGAAATTAAGTGGAACTCGTGAAGAAATTGCACATGCATCTAGTGGGAATACAGGAATACATATTCATGGTGTGCAAACTGAAACTTCCAAGAATTACTTCTCTTGTACAAAATTCCAATCACACTTAGGCCTTCTCAATTTTGGAGGTATAACTAATTGAATAACACTTACTGCATACTTATGTTTATAAAAGGAATAAATACACGACAGTATTGCTTTCTCATTTAGATTTTCAAAGTCAGAGAGTCTAAGGAATAACTCAAAATAGCAGCTATATACAGCGAAGAGAAGGCATTCAATCCAGGACACCTCACATATCAAAAATAGTTAAGGAAAACACTCTCACTTAATAGTAACATCAATGCTAGGGAAGTTTTTAAAGCCACTCGCGGCCTAACATGTAATGAAGTTTTTAAAAATCACAATCTTATCAGGCTTACTTTTAAAGGCTAATTTCTAGAATAGATTGAATGTGGTTTCTTGACCAGGCACAGTAATGATGATTTCCTTTGACAGAGAACCTAGTTTTATTTTATATATTTTTGTTTCTAGACTTGGCCATAGGTACTAGGTCCCAGAACCATATGTTTTGCTTAGTGAAGTTTAGTCAACAAAGAAACAAAGAAACCTATAACTATCTGTATTCTCTGTGGCATTCCTAATGAATGAAAATGAAACAGCAGTGATATATCCTAGCCTTGATAGTGATTAACACGTTTTCCTGAAACTTTCTAAGGATATAGCAATAGGCTTGTAATATAATGTTAAATATAAGAAGCAAGATATAAAATTATATAATGAAATAGGGGCTGGACCTCTGAAATTATAATATTTTAAATTTGTTTTTAAAGAACCAAAATCTAATTGAGAAATATAAATATAAATATATACATGCTGTGTGCCACAGGGATTTAGAAGTAAGACTGATGGATCCTGTGGCAAACCTTCAGGGATGCAGTTGAACTTGAACCATTCTTTGAAGTAAATTTGGGAATTATCCTAGTGATATTCTGGAGAGTTGGTCATTCCAGGATGGTAAATATATGAAAGGAAGATGCTATATACAGATGCCCCAATAATAAGCAAATTATTTGAATCAGAATGTTTTGGATGACATCACCAGAGAGATTTGTAGAAAGCACTTTATGAATGACCTGTTAGTTGAGGAGAAAATATTTGGACTTTATTCACTAAATCATAAGGGAATTGCTGAAGGTTTTCAAGAAACATGATTGTGTTATTTAAAAATTACTGGTATTCTCACTTGAACTCCATAGTCTAATATAAAGTAGATATTCTAAATCTCTTCCTTTATGGAAAACAAGTATGGTTAAAATGTATTCTTAATAAAATGCACTTTGCTTCTCTGGATCATTTCTATAATGAACATTTCCCATTTGTATACAGGAGTCTTTATTTTTAAGTCTGTGACACTTATAATTTCTTTCACAGTACTTTTTCTTATGCAAATAGTAATTGTGTATTTGTGTGTGTTTATCTTATTTAAGCAAGTTTCTTTTAAAGATCTGGTATCTGCCAATTACTGTTCTTAATGCTTGGGAGATCTCAGATCAGAGCTTGGCAAGCGTTCTGTAAAGGATCAGATATTCATTATTTTAGGCAAGGGTACTGTATTGCAACTGCTCATCTCTGCTGTTGTATTATGAAAGAAGTTATCAACAATATATGAACAAATAGATATGGCTGTGTTCCAGTAAAGTTTTATTTACAAAAACAGGTTGCCAGCTGACTGTAGTCATCCATTACCATCCATTACCCTAACTTGCTTAAATAAGATAAACACACACATACAGTTAGCCATCCATTACCCTAGAAAACTAAACAGATGAAACTACCTGCAATGATGGGTTTTACATTCTGTTATTTTTTTTATATAAAACTCCTTCACCTCCGTTTCCTATTTAATTTTGGGGAGCAAGAGTCCACAACTTTTTTTATTTTCACTTATTGTTTGATAAGAAAACCTCTGTTATAGTGACTACATATTATTTTCCATCAGTATGTACCCCTCATGCTCAGGAATTCCCAGGAAGAAGAGGAATAAAAAAAAAAAAAAGCAAACCCATTTATCATTCTCCAATTAGTAGTATGTACTCACAGAACTCTTCTTAACATCTGATTGTCAAACATTAGACTTAGGGAAAAGTCTGAAGTCTCACATAGTTAGATAATCAGGCCCTGGTAAGATGCTGTGTGTGGAAGGCGACTGGGTGTGTTGTTAGCTTTCTGCTACTGGCTTGTGCTAGCAAATGCCCTACTTATTAATTTATTCTCAATTTATTTTTTGCAGATGTGCCATCATTTGATTTGTCTGATTAATCTTGATTTTTATCCCAAATGACTTTTTCAATCATTTATCTTCAATCTAATATTCAGAGTATCAGGTGAAGTGTCAACACCC